ATCTTGCCTCCACTAGCCTAACAAGCAACACCATCTCAGTCGTAATCAATACCTCAGCCGCTACTAGCACTAGTGCTTGTTGGAATCTCTCCCGCCCAACATAGTGCTAGCATCTCAGAATTACTCAAGGCCCATGGAACTCCTAGCCGAGGGAGTGCCTCGCTCCCCAACCGTGAAATTCAGTGTATCGCCACACCACAACTCTGCTGAGCTTAAATCCAAGATATAGTTAATGAATTCGACGAATGACTCTTTGAGGATCTAGCTATGATAAATTGACCAACACTTATAAGAGATGCAGCGAGAGTTCCAGCAATCCAGAGGGGAAAGTTCAATCAATCCCACCTCCAATCGATCACTGTTCACTCAGAACATCTAAGAGCCAATCCCGATGGACTTTCACCTCCCATCACTAGAGGCCTTTGACGATAATATCGATCCGATAAAGCATATTGCTGCCTTTCATATCTAGATATCATTGTACGACACCTCGGACGCCCTAATGTGTCATGCCTTCCTGACAACATTAAGAGGCACAACACGAGAATGGTACACCTTCTTGAAGTCGCTCTCGGTTATCTATTTTGCTCAACTCACAAAGGAGTTTGAGCTCTACTTTCTCGGGAATATGTGCCTAAGGCCATCGGCGGTAATGCTTCTTAGATTCAAGTAAGGGGAGGAAAAAAAACTCTCTAACTTCATCGCTTGATTCACTAATGAGATCCGAGGCATGTAAGAAGCTTATCCGTCACTTGTAATACAAGCCTTCATGATGGGGCTCAAGTCCTCTTGCTTTTTTTGATTGTTCGTAGAGAGGCAACTAGCGATGGTGCTCAACGTGCTTCAAAGGGCCAACTAATATGTTATTGTAGAGGCAATGGTCTTGAGTAATCGCAATGAAACGTGTAAAAGGCCAAAATAGGAGCGAGAACTGTCACTCCCAACCTCGAGATCACCACGACAAAGAACATAAGACGAAGAAGAAATGATCGACCAGAGCTGCCTTGCTCGAGTTCTGAGTTGACTCCATTGAATATAACTAGAACCGAAGTCTTTTTACAAATAAAGAAAAAATGGCTCTTGAAAGACCCTTAATTGATGATGACACTATTGGAGAGGAGGAACAAATCCAAGTACTACCACTTCCACCATAATTATGGCCACAATACGGAGGACTATCATGATTTGAAGGAGCAAATTGAAAACTCATTTGTCAAGGACACCTCGAGAGGTTTGTTCGGAGGCACCAAGAACAATGGCTAATGGAGAGATAGATCAATATCATCATCGGTGGATCTACCTCGGGAGGAGACAACTCCTCGAGTTGTAAAGCCTACACTTGGACTACCATCAAAAAATGTCCGAGGTTCGAAGATGACTCCTAAATAACCTTTAAGGAAGAAAAGATAGAGTACCTTAATCCAAACCATGACAATGCCTTGGTGGTTTCCATGAAGATGATTAACTCTCGAGTGAAGAGGGTCATGATTGATATAAGTAGCTCTATTGATATCCTCTACTTTAATGCTTTTCAAAAACTTATGCTCTCGACTAACAATCTCAACCCTATTACTTCTTCGTTGATAAGGTTTACTAGTGACTCTATCTCTCCTCCTGGGACTATGAGCCTACACATCATGTTTAGGGATGAGCCCGGCTCCAAAATGGTGATGACCAAATTTATAGTGGTCAACATCCTATCAACGTACAATGCGACCATAGCTAAACCACACTCAACATACTGAGGGCTATAGTGTAGAGCTATCATGTGGTGATGAAATTTCCAATGATAACTAGTGTCGAAGAGCTGAGAAGCAACTTAAGGGAGTCTCCATACGAAAGAAGGCTTGGCCTGAGGCATCATCAATCGACCCTTGGAATCTTACCAAGTCCCTCCCACATTCAGAGTTGATGAAGTTATTAATCGAGGCACCTCTTGACAAAGCTTGTCATAGTGAGAAGAGGATCCAAAGTCCTCCACGTGTGAAAGGACTTGAAGCCCGTCACGATAAGGGCAAGACTCGAAATCCGCCACGACGAAGGGAGGACTTAAAGCTTGTCACAGTTAAAGAAGGACCCAAAATCCACCATGGTAGAGGGAGGACTTGAAGCTCGTCACGATAAGGGCAAGACTCGAAATCCGCCACGACGAAGGGAGGACTTAAAACTTGTCACAGTTAAAGAAGGACCCAAAATCCACCATAGTAGAGGGAGGACTTGAAGCATGCTACGATAGAAGGAGGACACGAAATCTATCATGATAGAGGAAGGACTCGAAGCTCACCACAATGGTGGTGTAGGGTGAAATGTGCTAGTTACAAGTATCTTGCAAGCCAATCACCGTAAGTGATGGCATATGTGAACACTGCATAGTCTTTTTGCTTATTATTATTATTAGTATTTTTCATTTCATGTTACTTGTTGCATATATTGTGATGTTCATGGATCTGTGCAATGAGAATTGGATCATGTTGAGATCATGATAATGAGACTAATTCGCCTATAAACACAAACATTAAATATTTCCGATCATAGGTTTCTCGAGAGAGACATCGAGATAACCGGATAGATCGATGTACTATATACCTGTCCATCTGATGGAGGTAGCTGGCTTCATAACTGTTTATGTGAAGACATTAGGGATATAGTGCAGGTGCTTATTGGAGAATGAGTATACTGAATGATTCACTCATGGAATGTTGGATAGTTAATGATATCTTCTCGTCAAACAATAATTTCATGGTCACAGTTGTGTGTATGGTCTTTAGACTTGAGACACCAATGATGCCCTATATGAGTACTCTACTCTTTGATACCAAACTTATGGGTTTGGAGGTTCTAGATCCAACATACTCGATCATTGGGAGTGGTAGCCAACCTTACGAGGGCAATTGAGTATCGATATAGAATCATCCACTTTCGGTGTCATGAGAGGAATGTCCTGTATGTTCTCGCTCAAACAAATCCCTGGCCAGGGTCATTTGGATTGAAAGAAAATGAGTTCTTCGGAAAAATTTGATTAGAGTGAGACTTGAGTTGATTCAAGATGGGCTTGACAGCACCATGTCCACTATATGGTCTTTGAGATATTAGATGGATGATGAACTATATATACACGGTAACTAAGGGCAGACATATCAAATGAATTAGATCCCTTGTACTGTTTGAGAATTATGACGTGGTGACCTAGTACATTCATAGTCGATGAGTTGAGTGAATTATCATCTATTGGATGATAATTTACTAAATCAGAAGGAGTTCTGAGTTAGAAAAAGTTCTGAGTCAGAAAGAGTTATGGCGGGTGTAACTCACAGACAGCTCGGTATTGGGCCTAGAGGGTCACATACATATAATGGATGATATGATGAATAGAGGATTGAATATGCGATATCCAATAAGCCCCTATTTTATTAGATTCATTAGATGAGATCCAAGAAGAGTTTAGAGTAGATAATTGGATATAGATCCAATTTCCATTAAGCTAGGGATAATTAGATAGAGATCCAGTATCTAATATGCTAGGGAAATTAGATGGAGATCCAATACCTAATAGGGTAAGATCCATTATGGTTAGCAGTAGGAGCTCTCTATAAACAAGGGATGTGCGACTAAAACATTTATAAGGCTAAACCTTTAGCTGCCACCTCCCTAACTTCTCCCTTGCTTCTTCCTCAGCCGACTGCTCCCTCTCTGGTATGAGAGGGTAGCAAGAAGACTGCCCCCTGCTACGTTGGTGGGGGTGAACGAAAGTGAGGAAAGAACGTATCGCGAGAGAAGGTGCGTTGCCGCTTTATCCATTATGTGAATCACCGTTAGAGAGGAGAACACAAGATCTCCTTCATCCACGAACTGAGATCTGCAGATCAGGGATATACGAGTTCCCTTATGTGAGATCATCTCACATCTTACACAGGGATAGATCCAGTTTTCAGATTTGATGAGTTTTTCACTCCCAATCGTCGTACGCAATTTGATATAATTTTGTTTTTGGGAAACCGATTTCTGTTTTGTTTTTCTACTGTGCATGTGATGCTTTCCTAAATTTCTCAACAAAATGTGATCAAGACATTTGAGTCGAGAAAACCCGACCTATGATAAGAAAAATCTGCTACAACAGAAGTGCAGTACGAAATGCACTCGAGGCATGTGAGTCGAGAAAACCTAACCCATGCTAAGAGAAATCTGCTATGGTGGAGACATAGTGTGAAATTTGCCGGAGGTTGCGAGTTAGGAAGTACGCATTGGGGGAGGCAAATGATAGTGAATATAATAATCAACAATCATTTGACACATAAATGCCACGTAGAAGCCATTATGGAAGGAAAAATTATCCAGCCTTTACGCCCACATGGACAAAAGCCCATAACAAGCTGTTCGAGACTGTCTCTTCTCTACTACCCACGTGGATAAAATGCTAAGAGGGAGACATTGGAGCTGTTACAGATTGTTTCCTCGAAGGCTAGGTATAAAAATGAATCTCCAATGCTACGCTCGAGGCTCTCTTCTCGAAAAAAACTCATACCCACTAAGAGAACTTGGTCATTAACTTGAGCATTACAGGGATCGGATCGAAAAATTTCTCCGACATCGATCTTAGTACAGGTACCACCTCAGAGCCACCTCGAGGGCACTTCGAACAGTCCTACACGCTCGGATTTGGACCACATCGGATTGACTCAAACGTGGACGAGGATTTTTCCTAACAAAAACTATCAAAACGCTGATTCAATTTAACGATGGAGAGATTAAATCACATCCAATGCTGAATTAAATGGTCAAAAATTATATACGATTGAAATTAATTTAGTCAATATTTAGTTATTTAATTCGAATTAAATAAAAATACGATGAGCGGCCGTCTCTTATTGAATGGATAAAGCACAATAGAAACGAAAATTGAAGAGAATTTAAAATCGGAAGGGGATGGAAAAATGTTAAGGAAAAAGTAAAAGGAAATTACCCGTCTACGTCGCCGATCAATCTTGCTCGCCTTCGTGCGCACCCACCCATTTCTCCCCCTTCCTCCAACCTCGTCGCTGGGAATCATCAATTGCCCTCCGCAAGCCCAGGCGTCTCAGGGAAACTTGATTGGTCGGAATCGATGGACTCTCCGCGGCGCGTCCTCCCTCCGTCTCCTTCTCCTCCTCCGCCATCTTCGTCGTCGAGGCCCCTCGACCTCGAAGTCACCGTCGTCTCCGCGAATCACCTGAAGAACGTCAACTGGCGCAACGGCGACCTCAAGCCTTACGTCGTCGTCTACCTCGACCCCGATCGCCGCGCCGCCAGCAAGCCCGACGACGCCGGCTCCACCCGCCCTGTCTGGAACGAGCGCCTCGCCCTCCCCCTCCCCTCGGCGGAGACCCTTCTCTTCCTCACCCTCGATGTCTTCCACTCCAAGCCTTCCGAGACCCCCAAGCCCCTCGTCGGCACCGCCCGATCCCGTCTCAAGGACCTCCTCCATCAGGACGCCTTCGCCGGCTACGCCACCGGCCGCGGAGGCGGAGCCCCACCGTCTCCCGTCCGAACCCTCGAGCTCCGGCGCCCATCCGGCCGCCCCCAGGGTAAGATCCGCATCAGGCTCGCCATCCGAGAGCGCCCCTGCCCCCCACCCGAACCCAGACCCGGTTACCACTTCCCCCCTCCCCCACCCTCCTCCGGCTACTATTTTCCCTCCAACGCTCCTCCCTTCCCTTCTCCACCTCCTCCTCACTCGGCTAGAGATTACCGCAACTTCTCTCCGCCGCCCCCTCCCATCCCTCCTTACGGCCACCCTATCCCGTCCCACCCCCCTCCCTCGCAGTACCCATATGGAAGATACTCCGATCCCTACTCTTCTGGATATTACTCCCCTGCCGCTGCATACTACTCGGCCCCTCCGGCTCCGGCCCCTGCCCCGGCCCAGCCCTACTATGATCGGCCATCCGGCTACGGGGGGCCATCAGCCCCGACGGGCTACTCATCAGGGTTTTCTGCTTATGATCATAGGCCAAAAGGTGGCAAAATTGGAGCGGCTACGGGCCTGGCAGTTGGGGCGGTAGCTGGTGCATTAGGAGGGTTGGTACTGGAAGAAGAACTGAGGTACGAGGAAGAGAAGATCAACGAAAGGGCGGAGAGCTCTTTCTCTGCAAGAGATGATTATTACAGTGACCATCGTGCAGACTACTAACTACCATGAACTTGCTGGTGTTCCTTGCCATTGCTGTTCAGTAGTGTTGGAAGAGGCAAAGATGAATAAATGATGCCGCTTCAATGTTGTCGCTTTGATATCTCGTACCATCGTGTATATGGTGTCGCTGCAGTGTTGATGACCAACGAACAAAGGTGTGCTTTTATGTTCTCATGCTTTTGGTGCACTTGAGATTAGGACACTGTGCTTGTCTAGTATCTATCTCAGTTGTTGTTATCTTGTACTGTTGTTGAATTTCCTGTCTTGAAAAAGGTTATTGCTTTACTTGTTATTTTCCTTCTTAGCATAGTTTGATCTATTTTTCTTCCATCAGTTAGACCTTAACATTAAATTGAGTTCTGTTTTCAGATGTCTTTGGTAGTCATGTCAGGTTTTGTATTGTAGATCCTGGTTTAATTCAGCCATTGACAACTATTAGTAAAGAAGTTAAGATTAGTCAAACCTGATAATAGATTTTGATTTATTATGTTGCAGATCATGCAAGTGTAATAATGTCTGATAATCTGAAGTATTTCATAGAAAGTAGGGATACTTGGCATAATTAAGGTCAAGTAATATTTCTTTTTGAAGCATGTCGATGGTCAGTGGCATTTTTGTACAAGTATTTGGCTTGATGTGGATTTAGTGAATTTGTCTTGCGGACTGAGGGGAATCATGTTGCTCTTTCTTGATTTTGAGAAACAATGAAGCGGGCAATGAATAGAAATTTTTATGCCTCATGCTGCAATCTCTTGCTTGTCTTGATCTTTCGGACTGCATTACTACTTCACCATCGACATCATGGACTCCCTCACACACTTCATGGAGTTATGTGTGTTGGTTGCATGGTCTATGCAGACCATTATGAGGCTCTTGATTGGTAAATGCCCATTTAATTTCTTTTGTGGTTTTCTTCCTTACTTTGTGAGCATTAGAGGTTAGCTATTTACCAATCTCTTGCTTGATCTTTCGGACTGCATTACTACTTCACCATCGACATCATGGACTCCCTCACACACTTCATGGAGTTGTGTGTGTTGGTTGCATGGTCTATACAGACCATTATGAGGCTCTTGATTGGTAAGTGCCCATTTAATTTCTTTTGTGGTTTTCTTCCTTAGTTTGTGAGCATTAGAGGTTAGCTATTTGCATCATACCAACTTGACTACTGTATATGTTGCTCTTTCTGACTGGATGTGAGATGAGACTCAACTTTATATGCCTAGATTAGTGAGGTTTTTTTTTCTATAAATTATTTTTTTCATTATTTTAAATTGCATATATATAATATGCTCCAACATGAATCTGAAGTTGAGACTTATCATCTGTATAATAATGTGCTAATCATCTGGATGTCCCAACAGAGACCTTTTATGGTAAGCTGCTTATAGTGCCTGACCACTGAACACAACATATCAACCTACTTGTGCTTTCATTTCTGTTGTTCCCAAAAAATAGAACAAACACAGCACTTATGCATCATTTAGGGCTATAACTGCCCACTAAGATTAGTCTTTTGTCTCACTGTAATTCCGTATTTCTTGAAGTTCATTACACAGATCACCAAGCAGCACAGTCGGCAGTTTTAGCTGCATATTGACCTCATCCAGATTGCATGTTGCTGCTTGAGGTAAAACTCCTCTCTTATATGGATACCTTCTCTTACATTATCATAGTCAGCTGTATTATCAGTTTTTTTTCTAGTTTGCATATATTGTGTGGTCATTCAATCTATTGCATGTTTATCAGTCATGGATGCCCTCACCATTTTGGGCCACTTTTGTAGCTGGTTCATAGGTGTTGTCTCTTATGTTAGTTTATCTCACTACCAAGGCATTTGTTTTAGGCAAAGATGTCAAACCTTTTCTTCTTTCTGCTGTACTAACTGTTGTCCTTTGCCTTTCTCTGTTAAAGCACACTATCAATCATACCTGTGTGTTTTTTTACTCGGGTATGTTCATGTACGTTACACCACAATCGTGGACAATATATATGTATATGTTCTTCTTGTTTGCTATCGTTCCATCATTCGTAAGGGCTCATTTAGGCCTTTTGTTCTGAACATATGGATGTGTATTTTCCACATGAAGTACTAAAAGTCTTTACTTTCGAGACGACACATTCCCTACTGCTACCCTGTGCTGAAACATCCATTTCAGCGACCCAACTTTCCTTCTTTCGTGGTTGATCCCCCTCTTATGTGCCGCTGTGTTGCTCAACACTTTCAGCAAGCGAGCATGGTATCGACTCTACCTGGCCTTTTGATCTTATTGCCAGCGTTGTTTGCCGTCGAAAAGGCCCGCTACTATTTTGATAAGCAATTAATTGATTGAATATTAATTCTGCTTTGAGAAGAAGAATAAAAGGGCTTTCTAGCATTCCAGAAACGAAAACAAAAACTATAATTTCTTGCCTGAATCCTACAAGAGCCAACCATAAGGAAGTCTGATGATTGATGATAAATACAAAGGCTGGCTATGAATCTGGCGAACAAAATACAGTGAAATTTTATGCAGACAGGTATCATGGGGCATCGATAGTTGCTAATTTCATTGGTTCCTACGCAAACAATTAATATACAATCAGTTTGATAAAACCCTAAAATCTTAATCTAAGAAAAGAAATAAGAACTTGATCATTTCCAGAGGATCAACTTCTTTTTAATCCCTTCGAGACGATCAATTGGTCACAATGAGTTGTATTTCATTGCTTTAAAAAATCAAATGTATATATATATATATATATATATATATATATATATATATATATATATATATATATATAGTTATTTAGTTCATAATCAACTAGGACTAGGACTTCTAACAAAAGAAATAAATAAAAATATCAATATCTAATTTTCTATCCTATCTTAATTGGAAAAAACTCAAAACCTCCTATCATATTTAGGAAAAACTAAATTAAAATTAAAAATTAAAATTAAATCCTTAAAATTAAGGACTTTTAAAATTAAGGAATCCTAACATTTCTTGCATCTACAAAGCAGCCTTGTCTTTAACATTGAGGAGCAATGAATTCTAAAAACTTCTCTTCAATGCCTTGTAAGACTCCCAAGTTGTATCTTCAATTGGTAAGCTAGACCATTGAACAAGCAAAAGGATATCTATAGCGCATCACAATATGTCAATCAAGTATGACTTGAGGCAAGATTTGAACCTCACCATTAGAAGAAAATATCTGGCAAATGGTGTTGTACCACATCATTCTTACTTAGCTTCTTTTTAAAGCAAGAAACATGAAAAATTAGATGTATCTTAGAGCTCACTGACAAGTCCAAACGATAAGCAACTAAACCAATACGTTCTAACACCTTATAAGGCCCAAAGAATCAAAGAGATAACTTCATAAAAGACAAAACATTTATAGAAGTTTGTATGTAAAGTTGAAGTCAAAGTAAAATCCAATTGCCCACTGCAAACTCTCACTCGCTGTGATGCTTATCAGCTTGTTGCTTCATTCTAGATTGTGAGACTACGAGATTATCTCTTAAAAGTTGAATACTCTTAGCCCTATCAAGCAATTCCTTATCCACTTGATCAACCTTAGAAGAACCAGACATATTTTTTATAATCATGGGAGACCATAAATCGCTTCAAAAGGAGTCATTTTAGTAAAAGAGTGATAAATGATATTATACCACCATTATGTCTAAAAAAGTCATTTCATCAACTCCTTTGGTTAACCAAAGATAGTTGTTTAGATAGTTCACCGCTTTAGTTTGTCTATCTGTTTGCAGGTGATAAGCAGTTTTTTGAATGTCAGCTTTATGTATATGAATTTGGTGATAGATAGATGGTAAATCTATTTTAGTGAAAACTTATGCACCACCTGATTCATCAAGTAACTCATCCACCACTAGAATGGGATACCTATCTTTCACTGTAATATTATTGAGTGCTCGATAATCTATACATCTATCAAGAATCATCTTTCTCCTTATTAATAAGATTAGAGAGTATGGACTAACACTAGCCCTTATGACTCCCCTACTTCAAGCATCTCCTTAACAATTTTATCTATCGGTCTTTTGAAAGTGTAGATATTAATAGGGTCGAACATTAGTTGGTGCACTCCCAGATTATGTTATTGAAGAAATGAAAGTCCTTATGGTTTTACAAATACATCCATAAATTCTTCAAGCAATAATTAAATATTTTTTATCTTGTTCAAGTATCGTAGCTTCCTCTTCAATGCTCCATAATTGGATAAAAAATCTATGGTATGTCTTTTAAAGAACCATCTCCATTTTATAGCTAGTAATGGTTGTGACCTTACTGTCATGTTTTCTCTTTAGGATCACTTGTTTTCTATTAATAAAAAAAATTATAATTAATTTGAAAAAAAATTCAAAAAATATTACCCACAGTGATGCAATTCCAAGCACACCCTCGTAGTCCTCTAATGGTACTAAGAAAAAATCCAGCAACTCTTGGCCCTACATAACAAACTTCAATTTGGAATACTTATTATCACAAGTTAAAATTCGCACGTCAGCAACCTTCACCTCAAACTTATCACAATGTTCAACGTGATAAGACAATCGCGCAACAACCTTACTATCTATAAAATTATAATAAATTAATATTTCAAAGAATAATTAGCTAATGCATGAATAACACGTGACAGGTTCAATAAACTCATCATTATCAGTACCTTCATGATCATAGTCTACATCCTCAATCTCTGGTTCGTCCTCAATCGATTCAATCATCAAAAGTTTCCTTACTTGCAATGATGCTCCCTGCTCGACTTTTCATTACAATACCAGCACAAACCCTTTGCTAATCGTTCTTTAAGTTCCACTTGGGCCAATCTTTTAGTATTAGGATTATGATTAGGAATAATTGAAATAGTTGACTTGCTAGTCAATTGTTTATTAACACTCATAGTTCAACGATTTTTCATGTTAATTTTTTCTTCATGGAATCGTGCAAAAAAAATTACAACTATCATAGTGTAAGGTTAGCAAGCCTTAACTTCCAATGAATGTTCCCACCAATTGTGTTTCAGACTAATCTTTAGCTCGATTTGACAGTCATTCAAATCAACTTTGATACTCTAACACAATAGAAGTATGACGAATCTTAATAAGCTACACATCAACATTCTCATATTTTGATGGTCCAAAATGAGTAAGAAGTCATTTCTTAAATTGTTCTCACGAGAAAACTCCGTGATAAGTTTCATACAAATCATATCATTGAATAGTATCCCTATCTAGTCAAATTGAAACTATTTTCACTTTAGAATCTTATAGAATTTCATGAAAACAAA